TATATTGTTATAATAACAAACTTTAATATTTAAATAAATATATATATCAATAATGTTTATGATGTTTCCTGATAAATAATTCATATCCAATTTTACATTCAATGTTTTCTATATTACATCTATCTTTATCTTTCTTTTTTTTCTGGAATTCTCTCGATTCATTTGATTTTTCCTTATCTTTTTATTGTTCTTTATCTTTAGCTATATCCTCTTTGAATTTCTACTGTAGTGCTTCTTTCTACAATATATTTTCTAAAACCAATCTACGAACCTACAACTTCGGTAATTCAACTCTGATAGTAGAAAACACTTAAACATTCTGCAATTCAAATGAACTCTTATATTAAGAGTTATAGAATACTTGATTTTTTTACAGTCTCTTAAAAAAGATTATCTAGCTCCACATATTTTATATATTTTAAATGGATTATTTGTATTCTCATATTCTAACAATACATCTTCTCTCGCCTTTTTAAGATTATCAGCTTGAATTATCAAAATCTCTGATTCATCTATTCTCTCATTTTTTCACTTTAATCTGTCAATAGATTAATTTATCTTTCCATATTATCAAGTCTATCCTATGCTACTAACAATTTGCTCGATTATTCAACTTAATCTTCATTTTTAGTCAAAATCTTATCTACTTGTTTTAATTTATCTCGGATGTGAGCTAATATAATTATCAGGTTAATAATAAACCTATAGGTACTTCTGTATAATTCTTTTCTCTCTATTATTTCTTCATACTCCATCATTATTGAATGCATTTATAAAGAATTAATCATCATGTCTTTAATTACATTTCCCTTCATGATCATATTATGTATCCCTTCATGATCATCTTATGTATGTTTCCAAAGATCATTGAAACATTTTGATATAAGAATATTCTTGCACACATCCTCATTCCAATAATGTTCATTATTTTGGTATTACTTTTCTTGGTATTTCAATTAGGTCATCATCAAAGATAGCTCGAGAATCCTCATAGATTAATTTGTTATTTAAATATTTTATACATTAATGCATTTATTCTATTCCTGCAATACCCAATAATATAATCTCTTATATTTCATATTAACTTTATAGTTGATTCACCAATAGCTAGTATCTTGCCTTGAAATATGCAAAAGTCATAAACTTTAAACAATGGAATTTATTTGCATTGATTACTAACTAAATCCCATTCAAATAAGTTCTATTTCTAATAGATCACACATTTCTTATCTATAAATAAACACTTATTGATCATGTCTCCTTTGGTTTTACAAATTTATGCCAATTTTAAATCTCTGATAATCCATTCTGATTACCCATTTAAAAACAAGTACTATGATGAAAACTTTATCGATTTAATAATGCTAGGTCTACAATCAGCTATTTAATTATATATATAAACTTATACCTTTTTAAACTTATTAACAACTCAATACATCCCAAACTTCTATTTAATTTTTATTATTGAGAACATACAATAGATCTGGAGTTGGCATACCAAATACATCAGCATTGAATTACTATTAAAATTAAACCTTCAATAAACGTTTAATATTTTCATCATATACACTTATTCCAGTACTTTGATTTTAATCATCAATTCTCTTTGGACCAAACAGATGAAACTATTAGGAAGGAGGATTATGAAAATCATAACTGAATACAGATCGATTTTAATATAATTGACAACTTTTGTATTTTTCAACAAGCATTTCTGATTCATTATATTCATTATTCATAAAATTCCATTTTACCAATAGAGGATAAACACTCTTTGAAATCTTGAGAATACATTGTATAGTAGAATCATTTAAAAACATGACAGTTTTGATTTCTAAATTGTCAAATTCTTTTCTTCTTTAAAATTCTAATTTATTATCAAATGGATAGATTTCTATCTCAAAATGGAATATAACTTCTTCATCATATAATAAACCACATTTTTAAACCACAGCCAAAAATTACTAATTTGGACTTGAACAACAATGTAAGACTTATTTTACTCTTGCTTTATAAAAGAATTATTTCTCTAAATTAGTATTAAGTAATATGAAATCTTTTTTGACTTTATGTTCTGCAATTATTATTTCTTAATTCATTGTAATAAGAGAATAAACTCCAGGACAAAATTTAACTTCAAATGTTTTAATTTTAGTTCCTAAAATTATATTCCAACTAGTCACGATTGCATTTTTACTGATTGAAAATAATTGATTATTTGTATAACATAAACCATGATGAATATCATCTTTTGAAGAATTTAGAATGATCTAAACAATAGCTTATTTATTAGATTCAAATTTCGTAATTACAATTTAGCCATTTGAAGCAAAAGCTACTTAATCATATGAAATAGATGTCCAACATGTAACAGCACAACCATAAGTAGTTTATAATTCTTCTAATTAATCATTCTCAAAATCAATAATAAAGACTTCACCTACTTTTTGTTATTTTCCAAATACTAATCCATTTTGTAAGACAAGTAAATCATCACAATCATCAAATTTCTCAGATAACACTTTTTATAATTCGATCATCTTATTGGTTTTAGGTTCAAATTTGTTATATTTTGGTTCCATTTGATTAGGTTTTCCAAAATTGGATGTTCTCCATAACATGATTTCCCCTTCTGAGACACCTATGATTCTAGGTATGTATATGACACTACCTTGGATTAGTATGATCTGATACACAAAATGCTGTAAGTGCTTATTCAATCAATATTGTCTTCTTATTACTTTCGGGTTCTATCATCATTAATATATCTCCAAATATTAGATAGATTTTATTATAAACTGCCACCATTTAATATGGCATATTCTCTATCAATCCCTTGTATTCTTTTTTCAATTTCATTTCCTTATCCCATATTGCTAATGAATCTGCTCCAGATGTATCACATAAAAAACCATTAAATGCTATAAGATTATTCATTGATGGTTCTAAATAATCATCACTTATTGGAATCTAATTGTAAGCATTCAACTTACTTAATCAAATTGCTAATCCTATACTGTGACTTTCAATTCCAAATTCAATGATTCTAATGATGTTTATTAAAACTATTGACTCTACTTTTTATTCACGTGAAACTTCTTCTTCTAAGGTATATCAATACCAGGAGGCGGACCAATTTAATTATCATCATCATCACCTAATCCAGGAGGTGGGTTCATTTTATTATTTTTATTTATTATTTTATTATACAATAGGTACTACTTTTTTATATATTATTATTAAATAATATTCATTATTTGTAATGTTTTTTACTCTTATGATGACTTTTACGATGTTTCTTTCCTTTACTCTTAGACTTCTCCTAATCATTAAAATCATAATTAGGCTAGATTTCTCCAGATTCAGGTTCAGGTTCATGTTCCTATTTATTTTTTTTTGTTTTCTCTGGTTCAACTTGATTCAAATCTTATCTCATAGAACCCTCCTCCTTTTATTTCTTATCCTTCTTCTCTTTTTTCTCCTTCTTTTTCTTCTTCTTCCTCTCACTTTAATCTTTCTCTGAAATCTAAGTCTATATTGGTTCTTCTTGAATTTGAGTGGATTATTATTATTATTGTTATTATTATTATTATTATTATTGTTATTATTATTATTATTATTATTGTTGTTATTATTATTATTATTATTACTATTACTATTACTATTACTATTACTATTATTATTACTATTACTATTATTATTATTATTACTATTACTATTATTATTATAACAATTATTATTATTATTATTATTATTGTTACTATTACTATTATTATTAATTCAAAATAGGTAAAATAGATATTTACTATGATTATGTTTGTTATTATTATGATTATTATTGTTAGAGATTGGCTACAAATGATTCATATTGAGCTTTCTTTTGTTCTTCTACTAATCCAGCCAATTTGGGATTCTCTTAAATTTTGGAATTGATAATAGGTAACATCTCTTCATAAGATTTATAATCAGGTAAAGATTTTAATAATTTAATGTATCTTTTACACATTTTCTTATAACGTTTAGATTAAATGCTAGTTGATTATTTGATATTTTCTTGAAAATAGCGATAGTAATATTTTTTTTCATGAGATGGCATTTTGGTCCAAATCTGATTATCAAGAAATAATGAATCAACTTCTTCAAAAGTGACATTGGTCAAAACCCTGACTCCTTTTTGTTAGAGATGCATTTTTAATTCTGATTTATATAGTTAATGGTTCTACTTTAAATGTGAAATGAAATCTTAAAACAATTCATGTGGTTATGAACCTGGTTATCCGAGCATGCAAATAAATCTATCATCTTATTATATTGTCTATACAAATTAACCCCATTTAGTCTTATGTGTCAATAAACCTTCAGCAAGGTGTTCTTATAGCAATTCTCTAAAATTGATTCTATTTTGTCTATATTTAGAGATGATTGACTATCTCCATTATTCATATAGTGGATTAATAACCTAGTTATTAAATATGAATAGATACCTCTTCAAATACTCCTAAAGCATCAATTGGTAACATCTATTATAAGAGTCTATCTTAACTGAATAACTTTAAGCACTCTTCCCAAGTGGAACTATGACTTAACACTCCTATTTCTATATGTCTTTGTAACCTTTTTCTAAAATCTTCAGTAGTAGTCTTTCTACTCTCTTTCATTTGTTCTTGCTCTTACTTATATAACTTATCTAAATAATCTTGGAATAAATTTTCTCTTTCCTTTTCATCAGGAATGGCTTTCCATCTTGCATCTGTAACAAGATAACTTTATACTTTCCATAACTTGATATCCGATGATAGGATCTTATGTTCTTCTAACATTTTCATAAAGTCTTCCTTTGCCATACTTAATTTAGTTTTATTCTCTTCCTTCTCTTATTTCTTTAATTCCTCCAAATATTGATTATAGATCTTCTTCTTATGACTTATACTGACTATACATTTCCATCTTGAATCACTTTATAATTGCTTAACAACTGAATCCCATTTTACACTTGATGTAATCTTATTATCCTTCAATAATTATGTGAATTAATCTATTGGATTAGGTGGTATTATATCCTCTTCCTCTCCTGATCTGTACTAATATTATAATTCCATACGTATATTATTCCTCCTCTGGTTTTTGCCATTTACTCTCCCTTGTTGTTCGATTGTACCAATAAGGTTTTCCATCCTCTGTTAAGTATTGTTACCATTCCTCTTCTATTTCTGATTCCTCATCTTAAAGGCATTCTGGTTTCTCCCATTGAGATTATCCAGTCTTTACATTGTAGTAATATGTCTAACCATTTGCTGATGAATGCTTTGACCAATATCCTCTCTCATTATCCACCTCCTTCTCTATGCTATCCATTAAATTATAATTAAATATTATTTATTTCCTACATCTAATATATGAACTGATATATTATAAATTCAAATTCAATTATCTATGGAAAATTCAAAATCGGAAATTCTTCATTGGATCAATAATCTACTCAAAGTAATACATTCTTCAATATATAGACAAACCTTACCAAAATAGAATAACTTGGTAATGGAGTAATATATTGCAAATTACTCAACATGATTGATCCTACCTCCTTGAATTCTACCAAAATTGTCCTCAAAACTAAAACACAAATTGATCACATCAACAATCTCAAACTTCTTCAAAATGCCATGTAGAAACTTCACTTAAAAAAACAATTTGACATTGATAAAGTCAGCAAATGTTACTTCCATGAAAATTACGACCTCATCTTATTTTTGAAAAAACAATACACCCTAAGATTCTCTGCTTCAAACAAAGAAAACACATCCATCAATAATTCAATTGTCTATGAAAATCCTCCAAATATTATTGAAGAACAATCAACTTCCAATTATACATTACTAACTCAAATTGCAGACATTATGCTTACTACTCATTAAGCTGACACCAAAGTCTTATAAACAATAAATTTATTGAAATCTCATAATTTCATAAAATAAGATTCTCACTTCATTGATAATAATACTCTTTTTGGGAATTCAAATAATATATTCAATTTGTTCAATAATTAGAATCAAAATATCTTTAACACAGAAACTCTATTCAAAACAGATTCTAAAAAATAATAATCGTTGGAGTAGAAGAGCAATTTGTTATGTGAGACTCCAGAGATGCTTTTAGATCCCCATTCAAATAATGAGGATATATTTGAGCATCAATCTTCATCTAAATTGATAATGAAAATGCAATCCCAATCAAAGTAACAATAAGAAGTTGAAATAAAGAAAGAAACACCAAATTTTTGTGAATCTCCATTTATTTAACAACCATAATAAAATAGTTTGGCTGAATTCATAAAATCAGAGAGCAAATAACAATAATAATATATGCAAAAATATTCATTATAAAAATAGCTTCAGATGCAAACTCAATTAAATAGTAATCAATAATAAGAATATTAATCTCCATTCAGAGATTAGATTGTTTAATAATAAATATCTTCATAGAAAGAGAATTTTAATTAGACTACAAATGCTTAATTATTTTCATCCTATAAAAAAGAAACCCCTTAAAACAACTCTGTGTTTTATTCCTGCAAAGATTAAGGTGCAATAATTGAAGAATGATAATAATATTAATAATATGATTTTATTATTATTAATTTTTTAAGTTAAATCGGAAGTAGAACAATAAGGAAATACTGTTTTATTTAAAAAAGATGCTTAATTCGCATACATCAATTTTGATAGTTGTCCAATCCTACTTTATTAAGATCCAGTCTATGATAATGAAAAAAAGGAAATCTAATGGAAATAATTCTGTTAATCATTGTAAGAAGGTATAGCTACCGAACCAACAACTTTGGATGTAATTTAAAAAGGTTCCGAGGCTATAAAACTATCTAATGATGTCAGGTATAAGAATTATTTTTGCACTTAAAATTATCTATTGACAAATGAAGGTGCAAATGCTTGTTGTTGTAAACCTGAAAAAATAGATACAGAACTTTCAACTTAGGGATTAACAGCTGTTATTGTTGTTCCAATAGTATTTTTTATAGGAGGATTGATAATGGCTAAATTGAATTCTCATAATAGTCGTTCTGCTTGGATGCATGAATTTGAGTAAGCCTTATCTAAAGCTTGAGATAAATACATAAAATAAATTAATATATATGATATAACAATAATAATCACCTTATTGGTCTAAAATATTGGAGAATTAATTATAGGAGAAACAACAATATGATAATTAATTCAAATATGATCAAGAATTAAGGAAGCAGAGATACAAATAAGAATTATAAACTGATATGATGCTTCATTAATAGAAGAAATAAGTTTAACAAAATTAAAATCAATAACTGGAATCCATAATGTTAGAGACTTTGAGATAGAGAGAATCTAAAAAGTTAAAGGAAATGGAAGAAAGAAAAATTAAGTAAATTTAAACCAGTTTAGACAACCTCAATAATTTAATGATTAAAAAGAAAATGAATATGGAGAGATCTTATAACAATTAATTAATGGATAAAGAATTCATTAGATAAGAATAAATTAAAGAATTGAAAAGTGTTGAGGAAAGGAAATTTAAAAAAGAAGAAGAAGCTAAATTATTGAAATTAACTTATGATGATATGATCAATAATAAAAGAATATTAAGATAAGAGTAATAGTAAAAAACATTATAATCTATTCCAACTTTAACATTAGAATAAAATAGAGCAAAAATAGATACAAAGAAGTATCAAGAAGAATTACAAAAACAACTTTAATAAAAATAACTTTAATTGGAAGAGTTGAGAATTAAAAAAATAGAAGAAAGATAACGAGTAGAGTAGAAAATAGAATTTGAAAAATAAAAAATGGTAGAAAATAAACTTAAAAATTATTAAGCATATAAACAATATGAGACTGAAAATTATGAATTATTGTAAGATAAAAAAAACTAATAGTAATACTAAAACGATCCTCAAGAATTAAAACTATTATAAAGTTCATCTTAAAATAAATTACCACGAATTTATTAAGACAATTATTAACCTTAAGAAAGAAAAAAATAATTGGAATTGCTTGATAGGGATTTACTAAAGTATCAATTATTATAGTAATAATAAAAAATAATTGAGAATAATCACAATGCCATTAATTCAATTTAATTAAATTAAAAAGATGGAACAAAATCTGAAACTTCAAAAATCACTAAATAATCAAAAAAAACTATCAATTCTTTAGATTAATAAGTTCCAAATCAATTATAATAGCAAGTTTTTGTACCTACTCCATCTTAGAAATATAGGAATTCTAAAAGAATTTCTGAAAATCCAATTGGTTATATGAATTAAAAATATGTTCCAAAAAAACGAAGTTTTAATATAGTGACAGGAATTATAACTTAAAATTGATAAATCTTCATTTATTTACTCAAATGTAATTAAATATTTATAATAATATCTATGTATCATTTTATTTTTAGAGATGTTTAACACGTTACTCTTCCTAGTTATAGTTAAAAGTATATCATTTTCAATAAATGATATCAATAATTTTATTAAATCTTTTTTAATCATTTCAATGAATAAAAGAATTTATACAAGCATTATAATTAATAAAAAACGAATTCAACAATGGCATATAAAAATCTTGTTCTAGTGGCTTTAATTTGTATTGTCACATCAACAACAATTTAAAAGTAAATAAATAAAAAAATAATGAAAGTAATTAAGGTGTAATGGATCAATATGTGAACCCAGGAGTTTAATAATAAATTGATGAATTAACATCTTCAAAGATTGGACATTTAGTAATTGATTTAGCAGAAGTGACAATGAGAGTTACAGGAGCTGTTGATTCTCTTACTGAAGGAGTTAAAGCTTTTGGTAGATAAATTGAAGAAAGATTGAAATTAGAAAACACTTAATGGGAAGTTATTGAAAGTGAACATAATGCTAAAGTTATATCTCTTAGTTCATAAGCAAATTAAGCTGAATTTGATATCAATAGAGAAAAGAAAGTTTTAAATTCAGAATTGATACCACGACTTCATGAATTAGATGATGTATATTATTATTATTATTTATTATAGATACTTTTAGGACTTAAAGCTAAATAAACAGATAATACTTAATCATTTTAAGAAGCTGAAGCTGCTAGAAATACACAACATAATTCATTTGTATTAACAACTACTGAATTTACTGATGCACTTAGAAATATTGATGAAGCATTAGATTTATTAACTGATCTATTTAAATCTGGAGAAGTTAGAGCTGCTTTTATTGAAGTTTCAGATGAATAAAAACATAAAGTTAATAAAGCTTTAAGATAAGTTAAAGCTAATACTGAAAACTTTGGACATTAATATTCATCTTTCATTTAAGCATTAACCAATTTAACTGAAGGATTCAATTTTAAAGATAGATAAGTTTTAAAGGAAATGTGTGATTTCTTAAATAGTTTGAGATTAAATATTTTTGATGCTTTAACTAAAGCTTATAAAGATGAAGACAGTTAAAAATAATAAGATGAATTAAGAAGATAATAATTAACAGCTGAAAAAGCAGTCTTTGATTAATAATATGCTGATTTCTATTAAGAAAGAGAAGATAAAACTGTTAGAATTTCTGATGTTTAAACTATGATTTCTACAAGAGAAGCTGATCTTAAAGCTTATTAAGATAGATTAAGAACTGAAAATAATAATTATTCAGCTAATCTTAAAATTCATGATGATATTGTGGTATTTTATTAATCTTATTCATTTTTTATAGGCTTCTGTCTAATAAGAATTAGCAGTCTTAGCTAAAGCATTATAAGTTGTTTAAACACCACCATTTTTAGATTTCTTAAATGGTAGAATAGCTAAAGCATGATTTAATAACAATTGATATCAAACTGTTATAAAATAAACATAATAATCTTTTGAATAAAATGACGTAAAAAAATAGTATTAAGAATCTCTTTATTTTTTTAAATTATAGATTCTTATTTAATTATTTTGGCATTCATTTATTTATTTTTTAAATACTTATTTATTCGATCCCTTAATATTAATAATAATATTCTTAAGAAATAAGCTAACAATTTCTTAATTCATAAATTTATTGCTTTTTAAATGTTTTTTAATCTCTTGAACCCTTATGATTATATGAAAGTATCAACCCCATTGAGATGAAATTGGGTTATTTAATTAATTTTTTTATTCTGTTTTTGGAATTTTATGGCTAGACCCAGTTTAGTCAAAAATTCAACAGGTATTATATTTACTATTTTAGTACTTGTTTGTTAAAAAGTATTTGTTCATGTTTTTAGCTACAAGGCAACAATATAAAAATCTGTTATTGAGTAATTTTGATCTTTAGAAATTCACCTAATAAAACAGATTCCTCATACCAAAAGAAAAATACCGTCTCTGTTAATTCTAAAATTAATTTAAACTATGACTTAAATTGGGAAGAATCTAAAGATTTTTATATTATTAACTTAAAACTGAAGTTGTAGTAAAGAATAGTGATAAAAATAAAAAATTTTAATTTAAATTGAAATATTTGCAATTGTTTTTAATTCATTCAATAAATGGATATTCCATCAATATAATAAGAAAAAATAAATATTCACTTCATTGGGTAATATTTTTTCATGTATTCTTTGAATTTAATTGTTTTCTGTTATTTTTTTTCAAAATAACAGAATCTCCCAACTATATAAGTACAAGCTATACTACTCAAAGCTATACTACCCAAAGCTATATTGTTCAAAGCTATACTAGGTGCTATACGACTCAAAGCTGCTACTACTATACCACTCCAAGCTACTATATCAATCAAAGCTGGAAAAGAAGTTAGACCATATTTATTCCAATGATTTTATTTTCCTAAAGCTCTCAATTCTTAGTATTGTCCATAAAAATTTGAAAAATCTAAAGAAAAGTTTATCAGGCTTATATCATAGAATTAACTTGTGCTATCAAAATCTTCTGTAAGTTTCTGTAGGTATTCTATGAGTTTTTTACTTAGTTTTTAATCCTAATCTAGCAAATTTTAATTATCGATAAAATTTTAAAATTCTGAAAATAATTTTTTAAAATCTTCAAATTTACCACAATAAGAGCTAATTTCAATTTGAATTCCTTCCTTTTCTGGTAATGTTAAGTTATCATAAAGAAATTCAAATATTTAAATTAAATATATCTCCATTATAATTTTTAAAAGTTAAGATAAATCATCAGCCATTGATGTAAAGAATCTTCTGATATGATGATTCATATAAATTTTTTATTAGCATTAAACTTGATATTATTCTTTGTTTTGATTCATAATGATATTATTCAAAATTTGATATAAGTTATTTTAAAATTAAATGAGGAATTGACAATTATCATTATGATAAGCATCAATCAACTCAATTGACTATTTTTAATTTTCTAACATTTCTTTATAACTTTTGTATTCATAATCAAAAGAATCTTCATAAAGATCATTCCAATAATTTAATAAATAATCCCGATATTAAATTTCACATTTAGTGAAAATCAAAGCTAAAAATTTTTGATGATTTTATTAAAGCTCCTTTTTATTAAAAAGAGTTCCTAAAGTATCAAATGTATTATAAATTTAGTTAATTTCCCTATTTGAACCATCAATCACCAATAAAATTATTAATTATTTATGTTAGCCACAAAATTTTATAAACTCTTATTGCTAAAATATTTACTTTTAATAATCATCTTCATTTGTAGTNTAAATGGATATTCCATCAATATAATAAGAAAAAATAAATATTCACTTCATTGGGTAATATTTTTTCATGTATTCTTTGAATTTAATTGTTTTCTGTTATTTTTTTTCAAAATAACAGAATCTCCCAACTATATAAGTACAAGCTATACTACTCAAAGCTATACTACCCAAAGCTATATTGTTCAAAGCTATACTAGGTGCTATACGACTCAAAGCTGCTACTACTATACCACTCCAAGCTACTATATCAATCAAAGCTGGAAAAGAAGTTAGACCATATTTATTCCAATGATTTTATTTTCCTAAAGCTCTCAATTCTTAGTATTGTCCATAAAAATTTGAAAAATCTAAAGAAAAGTTTATCAGGCTTATATCATAGAATTAACTTGTGCTATCAAAATCTTCTGTAAGTTTCTGTAGGTATTCTATGAGTTTTTTACTTAGTTTTTAATCCTAATCTAGCAAATTTTAATTATCGATAAAATTTTAAAATTCTGAAAATAATTTTTTAAAATCTTCAAATTTACCACAATAAGAGCTAATTTCAATTTGAATTCCTTCCTTTTCTGGTAATGTTAAGTTATCATAAAGAAATTCAAATATTTAAATTAAATATATCTCCATTATAATTTTTAAAAGTTAAGATAAATCATCAGCCATTGATGTAAAGAATCTTCTGATATGATGATTCATATAAATTTTTTATTAGCATTAAACTTGATATTATTCTTTGTTTTGATTCATAATGATATTATTCAAAATTTGATATAAGTTATTTTAAAATTAAATGAGGAATTGACAATTATCATTATGATAAGCATCAATCAACTCAATTGACTATTTTTAATTTTCTAACATTTCTTTATAACTTTTGTATTCATAATCAAAAGAATCTTCATAAAGATCATTCCAATAATTTAATAAATAATCCCGATATTAAATTTCACATTTAGTGAAAATCAAAGCTAAAAATTTTTGATGATTTTATTAAAGCTCCTTTTTATTAAAAAGAGTTCCTAAAGTATCAAATGTATTATAAATTTAGTTAATTTCCCTATTTGAACCATCAATCACCAATAAAATTATTAATTATTTATGTTAGCCACAAAATTTTATAAACTCTTATTGCTAAAATATTTACTTTTAATAATCATCTTCATTTGTAGTATATTCAAAAAATTTATAAGACCTCTCACCCAAAGTTAGAACTTTTTCTTTTATTTGTTATTAATTGGCACATTTATAACGATATTGATTTAGAAACTTCACTCGTTAAAATTATTTAATATCTAATAATATTTCAATGACGGTTGATTTTCCCACTCCCTTTTATCCTATTACAATAATACCATTTGTCTGAACAGTTTTTTCATCATTAATTGTTTATGTTATCTTTTAATTATTTGTCTGTTTTAAACTTTAATTTAAAATTTTTGAGAAATACAACAATTTAGTAAACTTTTTTTAAATCTGATTAAAAACTATTTCGGAATCTTATATTTCATCTCCTATAGATTGGATTTCCTTTAATTTATTTATTAAATTTAGACAATTAAGGTTTGGTTCTAATTTGGCTTTATATTCGACAAAAATATTATATATATTGCTTAAAAATTATGAAGAATTACGATTCTCAATAGAAATTTTTGTAAATTCCTCAATCATCTAATTTACCCATTTGCAAGAATTAACATCCTGTTTTTCAATAATGTCAAGGATTATTTCATAAACTGAATTCATCAAAATTCTTAGTTCAAATACTTCAGTTGAAGGATTGAGAACTTCTACTTTTTAATCGTCTTCTTACATAAATTAATGATAAAACATATTTATTTTGCACTTATATTGTAGTTTATTCGTTTTCTAGAAATTCTATGATCACAAAATTTTATGATGTAGAAATTCTATCTTATCCAGTATAAAAAAAAAAAAACTAAAAAATTCAATTAATAAATGTAAAAAGAAGAAACAATTATAGATATATTATCAAAAAAATTTACTCACATTGAAAAATACACTAATTAAACAATTAAATTAGATTAAAAGATACAAAAAGCGATTATATTTGTTGGATTTACAAGGGAAATGTTCGATGAATTTTTTAGATCTGAATAATAACAAGTTACATTTGACTAAGAAATTTTATGTCCTGCTTTTAATAAGCTTAATGAGAAAAATAACATAATCATTTAAAAAATAAGGGACAAAAAAGAAGAGATATATCAGTTAAATTTTCCTAATCTTTTTGAAAACGTTCAAGAACATATAGATGACTCATTAATCATTTTAAGTAAAATTTTACTAGAAAAAGTAATTTTGTAGTTGAATAAAAGTTGTAAATTTCATTTTGTGATAAATTATGAACATTTTAAAAATTAACTCCTCGAATAATAAGACTAAATTATATTCGATACTCTTTTATAAATTGGAAAATTCAAATTTTAATCTTATGAATTATGTTTTGTTATCCCTTCTGTTAATCCGTAACAGGTAAAATATTTATTTGAAAAAAAATAATTGTCTAAAATGATTGAAAAACCTTTGATGTTTAAGACTACTACATATCAAGAAATAACAAATCATGTAAAGAATTCTCTTGATTTTTAATCAAGAGAAGAATAGAAAGAACCATTTTATGGATATACTACTTAGCTTTAAAACAATTGGCAAGAAGAATTACTTAAATATATTAATAATATCTTTTTTTCTTTTTAACAAAAACTTCTTAGGTGGCAATAACAAGAAAACATTATAAAAGTTGATTCTAATAAAGCATACTTTAAAATTTTTTTATAAGATTTTTCTTTTAGGTGTAGACAGGTAAGCATAAATTTCATAGAAATAAGTAAAACAATAATATAATTAAATTAAATTATTGATAAATATGATTAAACACTTGGAGAAATTTTGAAAGGGGTAAAAAATTAAAATACATTTAAAGAATTTCTAAGAAAGGAAAAAATAAATCCATCTGATATGTAAATAGAAAAATTCTAAATAGAAAACTAGAATTTAGACAAAATTATTAATTTTTTTATTACCTATAACTACAATGACTTTAAAGATTTATAAATTATAGAACTTCAAATGTTTTAACAATAATTATTCTAATGGGTGTAATATTATGATTTAGATTTAGAATTTAATTTCTATGAAATAAAAAAAGTTTCAGCAAGTATTACACAAAAATAACCTTTGGATAAAGCTGTCTTGGTTCTAGGAGAAACAAGAGTTGGTAAAAGCACATTCCTAAATGTTTTGCAAAATCCAGAAAACTTATAGATTGGAAAAAAACTTGACAGATTAATCTATGAAGTAAAGAAAGATTAAGTAAGCCCAATAAAAATTGGACATAATCTGATAAGTGAAACATAATTTTTACAATAATTAGAAATAGGCTAAATTCATTATTTTGACACTCCAGGATTTAATGATACGAGATCAGAATTTAAAAGAATATCAGATCTAATAAATATTTATGAATAAATGAGAGTCATCAAATAATTAATTATAATGGTTGTTATCGATTGCTCAGAACCATTCTCTTTTATAAATAAAATTAAAGCGGCCTTTAATCCAATACTTCAAATGTTAAAAAACAAAAAAGAAATTCCAAATTTATTATTGGTTTTGACTAAAATGGGTTCAAATATAAGAGAAGAAATTATCAATAATTGGGAAGAGCTAGTCCAAGATTAATTATAGATACAATATCCCTTTATTTAAGAGATTTATTGCAATAATAAGAAGTGTTTATCATTTTTGAAACCTGATTAAAAAGAGGTTTCAGAAAATCCAACAGCATATTTTTAATAGATTTAGAAAAAAGTTCAATTAATGATTACAGAAATGTTTTAAGATGAATCTTAAGTATAAAATAATTTAGATTCCTAATTCCAAATTTAAGAAGAATTGTTAAAATATTACCAAAAGTGTTATCCTCAAATTTAATTATTAATTAAGTAATCAATTGTATAGATTAAATGTGGCATTGAAAAAAAAATTTTGAATTCTGAACTTTTTGAACATAAAGAGTAAATTGAAGAATTGATAAAATTAATTAAGGAACAACCCATTATAAATAAATTAAATATGCTTTAAGTATTAGGAAAGTTGAAAAAGTGGGCTTAAAAGTTTGAAGATGAATAATTAATTTATAGTAGCTTACATCAAACAATAGATAATATTGAAATAATGATTTAAATTGGAAAATATTTAGCTAATACAGAAAATATTACTCCAGTTTCATTAGAACTATTTTAAAAATGGCTTGAAAAAATAGTGTTTAAAATGAATACAATAGAAAATACTATATATGGTGTTATGGCTATGGCTGTAGCAACTGTTAGCCCGTTATTGGTTGAATCATTAACTCTTTCTGCAATTTTAGGTGTTTCTAGAGTTTTGGCTCCTAGACTTATAATAAGATATATAGGAAATATGACAGTAGACAGGCTTTTTTTATTACTGAAAAATTATATATTAAAAAGGTTATGCAACTCGATGATAGGTGAAGAGATCTGAAAATTAAAGAATTTATTTTATTAAATATTGTTAATTTCTACATAATTTATATTTAAAAGCCCTTTTATGAAACTATCCTTCACCAATCGTGATCTTATCTAATTGGTCTCAATTTGTATTATTTTTATTTTTTTTAATATTTAAATACTAATAAAATAATAATAATAATAAACACACTTATACTACAATGATTGTTTACAATAATTTTTTTTTTAAGACAATCTATAAAAATAATGAATATGAAGAAATAATTACCACAAAAAAAGTTTTCAACAACTTTTTTATAAGATCCACAAATACTTAAAATAAAGCTTAAGCATGCTAATCTCATAATTTAAATCTGTTTATTATCCAAATATTAACTAAATTGATAATAATATAAAACTACTAAAATTTAAATTTAATTTATATTATAAACTTTTTAAATATTATGATATATATTTAAGATCGAAAAATATTATACTACTTCAAAATTTAAGGTTTACTCTATAATTTTTAAAAATTCGTAATTTATCTTACTCCAATCTGATTTTTATTTTCAGTAATAATGTATAATTTATATTGGTGAATATTAGAAATTTTTTTTCACTTTAATCCTCCATGAAATTGAAAAATACCTTATCTTATCTGTTATCAGTTCATTAAATTTTAGCATATCTCTCACAATAAACATATCCAAATACCATTTCTAATAATTACTGTTTTTTTCATCAGACTTTATAAATAATTTTTTAATTAATTTCAGAAAAATTAAACAATAATTTGCAAGCCTAAAATAATGTTTATAAAATCTATTATTTTCACTAATTGGTTAATATATAAAATGTTTTATTTTCATTTATATTGGTGAAAAAAAGACTAATTTATATTCACTAGTATATAAATCAATAATTTTTTTAATTAATATATATTAGAGGAGATAAAATAAGTGTAATTTATATCCTTACCGAATATTTATGCTATAATGATAACAGCTATAGAAATTATTCAAATACTCATAATTTGAAAACAAGCGTATATAAATGATAAATGTAGATAACTTAATAATAATAATAAATTAGATTTAACAAACAATAATCTTAAGGCACTTTGCAAAATCATCAAATTTTTTTGCAAAATTGATGTTTTGCTGATGATGCTGTTTTTTAAGATCGTCTTTAATATTTATAATATTATATGAATTTCAGATTTTGTTATATAAAATCTTCAAATATCAATTTAATCCATAATGGAATTAGCTAAATCTTTTAAATTGCAATTTTCTTGTAGTGCCTTTCCTTTAATTAAAAGTTTCTCTAAGAATATTAAAGCATCATTTATTCCTTTTTTCCAATAAGTATTTGACCAAAATGGCTCATTTTGTTCGGCATTTTTATTGGTGGAATTTTTAAATGCTTATTAATGATATGAGACTACTTTGTTCACTTCAACTACTTTCTAAATTTTTAGATTTTTCTCACATTTAAATACCTTTTCTGCTCTTGTTAAACTAACACAATTTATGATTTATCTATAGTTAGTTGTATTTGACATTTTAACAATTTTTATGTATTAATAGGCCGCTTCCTTCTTTGATTCCTCATTTAAATACTTATATACTGAACTAGCAACCAAATCAAATATCAAAACTGTGAATTATCCTAAAGCACCCCAAACAATACCTCCAATAATTTGAAAAGAATTAGAAAAAAACCCCCAAAAATGATTTTGTAATTTTGACCAAGTACTTTCATCTTTTATTTGTTAATTTAGACAACAATATTCTAAAAAATAGAAAATCGTGAAGCTAAATGACTGATGAAAAAAAATTCCTTTGCCCAATTTTTATGTTTGATTCTCTTTAAGTTCAAAAATATTTGTTGGTGTGTTTAATAATTAATTAACTATATAATTTATTTCTTCCTATTATTTTCTTAGTTAATTATATCGTTATCAATTGTTTTCTCTATCAGTTTCCTATGATTTTACAACTTATTCATATTTTTGTGTTAGTTTATTAAATTCTTATTCATATTTTTGATCCTTTTCTAATTATTTTTATTTTAGTTGATTAATTTCTTACTCACTGTTTTAATTCTATTCTTTTAGTCGATTAATTTTTTATATATATTTTAATTTACTTTAATCCTACTCTTCTCTTAGTTGATTAATTACTTTTATTATATCTTATTTTGAAGCATTTTTTTCTAGCGATTTTGTTGTTCCTCTATTTTTAGAACCACCATTTTATGTTTTTGGCCTGCTAGTTCTACTATCAACCATATTAAAAATGTTTATTTCATTTTAAATTACTGTCCTATATTATACTGGCACAATTAATTTGAGTTGCTATAAAGGCTGAATCAGCTGTGCCATATCAGAATAAGCATCATCATAATTTCCTTTTAAGATTTTATCATGTCCTTTTTTAAGATTAACGGCCATTTAAGCAAAGTCGAATTGCAAATTTCCAATATCTTAATCATATTCATCTAAATCGCCGTATTATTATTATGATAATGGTACATTTTAATAATAATTATTTTTCTCTTGATTAGCAGGATTTATTAAAAAATTTATTTAATTTGCAATAATCAAACATTTCATTACATTTAATAGAATAAAATTTTCTATAAATTTCATTAATCAAGAGAACAATAATTATTATTAAAATATGAATTATTATTACAGGGGATGTAAAATTCAAAATTCATGTACTGAATGATGGTTAATTTTTATTGTGCAATAAAAAAAATGTAAATAAATTTTTAAACTATCTCTCCTTTTAATAAAATGAATTGAAAATTATTTAACTAAAACATTTGTTCAATCCATTTAACCTAACCTAGTTATTGCCCCTTAAAATTAAGTTCAGTTTAGCTTTAATTTTTCATAAAATATCTGAGCCTTTTATTCATTAATTTAGTTTGGAGAAATATTTAAATAATATATTAAATAATTATTAGTGATCAAAAACTTTACTTTCTTTATGGTTAGGATTCAATAAATTGATTTAAAAAATTAATTGATTAATCCTGTTTTGTTTTTTCTAAAGATTGGTGGGCTTATGAATTTTGTTCTAAGTTAAATAGTTTCTCGTATTAAGCTTTTAAGTTTGATTCTAATAATTTAATCTTCTCTCTATCATTATTAAATTAATCTGATAATCCTCTCTCTCTCGACATTAAATAAATATAAAATAATTAATATTAAAATTTAATATAAAATGATGATTAATAATTAGAGACACAAAAAATCATTCAGTTTCAATTTATTAAGGCTTAATCTGTTGTGGATTTTGTTTAATTTCTTAAAGTTATTATTTAACTTTCAATTCTTGGCTAAAAGCAACAATATCTTCTAATTAATTAATTTTACCAGCATAAGAAATGTATTTTAAAACATTATCACTCATACCATTAATAAGGAAACAACTTTTACTTTTGAGATCATCACCAAAACTAACTTATTTTCCATAACCAGAAATATCCATAAAAAAGAATTTAGCTTCTGAATTAACACCTTTTAAATAATCCTGAAATACATTTTTCATATCCAAACCATTTTCTGAAAATCCTCTTGTAACCATCATATCACTTAATATCACTATATTATCTGCTCTTATTTTTGGTTTTAATAATACATCATTTATGGTTTATCCTATCATTTCATGAGACCCACATAATTCTGTACTTTTAGTCTCACATCTCTTAATTCCTTGTAATAAAGTATCATTTTCAAAATTAACTTTAGTATATGGATGTTTGGTTGATTATGGCGCAGCAAACAAATAAAATTCACATTTTTCGCATTTAATTCTAATTAAATGAGCCAAAACAAAAGCACATGTCATACATTAATTAACTGATCCATACTTCTTTCCACCACTAATTGGACTACGCATTGAACCACTTACATCAACAAATACATAAGTAACACCTGATATTGTTTCTAAATTTTTATCAACTGCTATTTTCATTGCTTTTTCAATTGCATCTTTATATTATTCTATCACTTAAGGAGATGCATTCACTTCTTATTCTTCTTCTTATTCCATTTTCACTTAATTAATTTCTTTTTCCTTTTTCTTAGCATTTTCTTTTTTTGGTTTCACACTTTTCACTTCTTCTTGTTTACCATACAAATTGTTAATTTCATTCAATGCTGTAAAATATTAAAGTGGAAAAATCTTTGAATTTTCAACTTATCCAGAATTTGATAATTTTTAGATTACTTTTGAATGAGCATCATCACTAACACCTGATTTCAATATATTTCTTAGATTTCTTAATAATGCTAAATATGGAACTTGATTTTTTTGAATTAAGTCTTCCCAAATTTATTTTTTAGAATGTAATCCTTTACTTAATTCTCTATCCCATGTTACAGGAATTGGAATTTACATTTTTGATCCAGCTTTTTCAGGCTCAAACTTTAATTTTTCTTCTCCTTTAAATTCTTTTTAGAATTCTTCTTCAGTTTTTGGATATTTTGCTCCCAAAATTGACATTACTAAACTTCTGGGTTCTTTTACATGACTGAATTGAACAATATCTTTTAAATTTAAAAAGTTAGAATCAAAAACATTTAATTTTTCTTATGGTTTCTCAATATGAGGATTCCTCATATGTCTTTTGCTATTTTTAGCAATTTTATTTGTTTTTTAAATAGCATGAATTTCGAATTATTTTTAAATATCTCCTCCTTAGGATAATGATTATTCTCTAATTTATTTTAATTTCATTAATCTTTTCACTCTTCTTTTATCTTTCAAATCTGGAACCAAAATTTCTTGATATTTCTTTATATTTTTTTTTCTACTACTTTCTGAACATTATTTACCAAGTTAATAAATATTAAATTGAGTAAGCTTCTTTTTGATTTGTTTTTACAATATTTTTGGGAAAGTTAATTTCTTTCTAACATCAGTTAATGGATTGAGATTATTGTTCTATTTTTAACAATTAGAAATGACTTGAACAAATTAACAAACTTCAATAAGATCTCCAGGTATTAATAATGATGGACACATATATGTTGAACAAAATGGTTTAGTTTTTGGATTGAGTGTAGCATATGCAAGGATAAAATTAGTTACACTTCTGATATATAATTATTTTCTAACATAGTATGCTACCTATAGAATAAACTCTGGATCTATATCTGCAATTGTATTCATAGTTGCTATTAATTTATCTCTGGATTCATCTGATGTTTCATAATATTTTGTTTCTTTTAGTAAACTACTTGCGACTATACTAAAAAAATATTCTTTTGGATCATTTCTTTATTAGCAACAATTTGGATCTAAAAAGAATTATAATTGATTAGGAATCATTAAATTTATTTATATACTTTTCATTAATTTTTATTTATAAACTCTTTAATTATGTTTATTACTGATTTATTGATAAAAAATGTTCTCTTTTTTATAAATGAATACAATATATATAAATTTAAATATATTTATGATTATTGTCATATTAATTTCCATATATTACATAGTATTTTCCTTTTTATTTGTATTTTACATAAATATGAACCCAAAAGGCATTTGCTTAGATTATAATAATTCTATTAATAAATTGTTTTTTGTGTTATAAACTAAAACATTTCTTTTATAAATCTTTCTATAATTCTCATAACATGAATCATCTAATATTTTAAATTTCATATGAAGAATAGCAAAATATGAATTAATAGTAGAAGAATAAGTTGTTTAACAGTATTTGGATTTGCTGAATGGTTTAGTAGTGTAAAATAGAATTTTTAAAATGGAGCTGAAAAAAGGTGAAAAAGTGAAATACATTAAGGATGGTGAAATAAGAAAAATGTAAGGCTGTTTTATATGATAATAGAGAATCAATTAATGATATGATGAAAGAACTAAGATATAGAGTGGTTTAGATTAATAAAAATGCCTGAGATGGGAATAAGAATAGTATAAAATTTGGAAAGTTTATAGGAATTAATCGCTGGAGGGATTTGTAATTATTATAATAACAAAATTGGGATATATAGGAACATTTTGGAAGTATTAATATATAGTATAATTAGAAAATCAAAAGTATTTTATAGAGGATAATATTTGATGGAATAAAATTATGAAAGTGGGGAATTTGTTACAAAAAATAACCTAATTTAATAAATCAAATCTTATTTCTTAGAGGAGGTCTAATCTATGATAAACAAGGCAATAAAGAAGGAGAATGGTTTGATTAGCATGATAATTTAGAGAGTATTATTTCATCTTATTAGTATGATATACAATAATAAAATAGGAATCATTAATTGGATTAAGTAAAGTACCCTCCTTTGTAATCATATTTCTTTTCTGAGGGATTTCTTATTATAAATTATTAAAGTAATACGTAATTTAATCTAATTAAACTTAATTAAACCAAGATTATAAGAACTCTCCTTCAAAAAGCATTTTATCCTTTTCTTATTGAGCTTCATAGTAATTACCTTGTAAAATAAGATAAAATACCTTCAAGCATAGAAATAAGATCTGTACGAAATCTACTATCTGATGGAGGCAATAAAGAGGTATGTTTATTAAATTCAAATTCTTTTTCATCTTTTTAAAATAAGATCAATTCTTCATTATAAAAATTATTCGCTATTAGCTTTAAATCTTTTGACAATCAATTAATACTTTATTTATAGTTCCAGAGATGGAGAATTATCCAACAAGAGCTTTAATTTAATTAGATCTAATTTCAATTTCATATTTGTTTCCTTTAAAATCAATAATAAAATTGCCATCAACAACAATTTCTGGTTTTTGAGATACTAAATTTTTAATTGAAATAAGGTGATTAGTTGAATAAATCTTATAAGCATCTAAATTTTTTTTAAAAGAAATAAATAATGACTTAAACAAATAGATTTCTAAGATTAAATTATCAAATGAGAATTTGTATTCAATTTAACCATTATAATCAAGACTTGGTGATGTAGCATAAAAAGCTATAGTATTTTCATTAATTTATTGAGACAAATACTTATAAGTATCAACTATTTCAAATGTTTCATTAATCTTAGAAAGTAATGGCAATAATTTAGGAATAGCAGAATATTGAGATATAAGAAATCCAAAGATTAAAGCAATTTTAAATTCTGGATCTCTTATTGAACTTGCTCTATCTAATATTGATATATATTTCATTTATGTAGCCACCTATTACAACATAGTTGTTGGTTGATGTAAATAGACTTATGATATATATATAAAGCAATACTTGGTAATTTCATTTAATAGATATTATTATTTAGAATTTGATTTTTAATATTACCCCAGAGATTGTACTATTATTATTTAATTTTCTGTGATTTCTTAATAAGTGGTGCTGGTTTCAAACTTTAAGTATGAATTGAATTAATTGATTGACAACTTTAAAATTCAGGTTAAGCTGATTAATAAAGAAGATCTACTATTTCACTCAATTTATCTAAATAACAATATTTATAATACCTATGAAAACTGATCCATATGATTACAATCTTTCAGAATATGAATTTAAATTTGGATTAATTTCAATAGTTTTATTCACAAATTTTAGAGTGCTTTCGAATTGATATTGTAATGATCTTATTTTTTCTAATTCATCTTCTAAATGCAATTTTTGGTTCTACTTTTAGATGCAATCAAACCAAACATCTTTTTCAAAGTTATTTTCAAATAATAAAATAATTTTTTCAATCCCTGTAGTAATATTGATTTAACATTCTCTCTTATCTACTTTAGCAATAGATAAATGAATTTATCCAATCACACGATTTCCTTTGTTTTTACAATAAAGCAACACAGAGTCATGTAGGATGAAATAATATTTATGTGTTGAGAAACCAATTTAACAATTAAGAAATGCTTCCATTTATATATATAATTATATAGAAATAAAAGATGTGACTTTTATAATATGAATCATCTAGAGTATAATTATATATATATAATAATTAATTAATATATATGGCAATTGAGAGCGAAGTGTTGTATGCATTATACTAACTGTATTAGAAGAATTTGATTTCCCTTGAGCAAAAAGGAATGATCAAAGGTAACTAAACTTACTCAAACAAGATATGTTGATATAAAATGATTTCGTGCTAAGAGCTTCTATTACAAATTGTGAGACTTAGTTTATATTGTAACATCGTATTTTAGAATTACTTTAAGGTTTTCAGATGGTTTTTATCTATTTAGATTAAGAATCACCTCGAAATTCGACTTGTATTAGCCCTTTGAAAAAAATGCCTTCTTGTAGTACAACATATAGCCGGCAAAGGATTAAAAGTGCAACTCAAAATCCAAATTAAAAAAAAAAAATATCAAGATTAAGATCAAATTCTTTGACAGCTATTTGAGATAAAGTCGACACTTTTTTAGTTTTGATATTTATGTTTTAATATATATTAATTTATTTAGTTTTTTTTTTAAATCACAATTTATAATAATGGGAATCTGTCAAACTTCATCAATAAAATCAGAAAAAAAGGAAAATAATAAAAGGAATGTAGACGGATAATAAAAATAAAATATGAATCATATAAATAAGTCCTAAACTGTTAGAATGTTTGACTACAATACTAATAAAATTGTGGAAGTACCAGTTTTAGTACCAGCAACTTAAAATTCATTGTATTCTAAAAGATAGACTCATAGTCCTAATAGTAATCCAAATTCTAGACAATTACTGACCTTATCTTAATGATTATATTATCTTGTTATAGTATTAAATTTTACTGAATTATTTCTAAAAGTAATATTTTAGATGTGAAAAGTAATAAAGGATGTTAAATCAGTGGTGTGGATTAGTTATATACTAAATATAATTCGAGAATAAAGATTATAATAAAGAGATAAAGAATAATATTATTGATGGTTAAATTGAATAGTATTATTTATATTATGTTAATTTTGATGTATTATTTTTTGTAATTTATATATAAAATATATATATCAAACAATTCTAAGTTTTTATGCAGTGCGCAATTCTTCTTGAAAATCAACTGAAAGTCTATAGTAGAGTCTAGATAATGAGAGAGATAGTATTACTTCTCAACATCTTGAATACAAGAAAAGAGTTTGGAATCTGGTAATTACTTGAGAGTATCAGCTAATTCATTTATTTGATTTTCTTTAATTTATAATTACTAATGAAAGTCTAATAAATGATTTGTTGGTGGTTTGATCTCTTAAATCTTCTCATTAAGTTTGGATAGAACTTAAGTAAGATCTAATTGTGTATCCTCAGAATTATTGGTAAAAAGTGAATATGAGGCAACAAAATTTAAAAAGGGATCATCTGATTATTATTCTGATATTTTTTCTGATGAAGCCTCAAGGTCATCACTCTAATCTACTTATTCTATTTCTAATTTCCGAATATTCAAAGTTGTTTAGGGGATAATTACTATAGGTTTTTTATTGCTATCTGATGACATTAAGTCTGGAGAAAAAATTTAAAATTAAATTATAGAAAAATATATGTAGGAAATAAAATTGAAAAAGTAACAAGATTATTATAAAGTGCATATATTATTATTAATAAAGAAGAGAAACAAGTTTTTAGAAGAAATATCATTTACACAATAATTTAAGAAACTAATATCAAAAATTTACAATCCCACCATCATCATGTTAATTCAACATTTAAACAAAATATATGGAATTATGTAATATTATAAACATCCAAATCTTAGATTTATCTGAAACATTATCTAAAATTGATATCATTATTAATCTAGGTTTGTATATTATAATTTTACTCAAATATAGGTTTTAAAGAAATCACCAATTTAATCTAGATTATTATTCTTACTGTTAATCAAATTGGAAATCATTTTTATCAAGAGAAAATAAATAAATAATGAATGAATCAACCTTTCATTTTATTATTTTTCACTTAATTTTTCTATTATTTAAGATATTACTAAATCACAAAATTTGTTATTACCAAGTAATGCTAATTCGAAATTAATAGTAATAACTTATTATTGATTCAGTCTATGAAGATGTAAAGTATCATCTTACACAAAAAATCAATTATAACTATAATTACAATCCTAAAGATAATTTATAAATCTTAAATCTTATCAATGTTTTTATACCTGTAGTTTTTAAGAGAATTCTAGACAAATATAGTTAGAGTCTAGAATTATCAATTAATTATTGAAAAATAAGAATGCGTTAAGGTATTATTTGATTTCCAAAAGGAATTTTTTGAAATATTCATAAATATTTGGGTTTTAAAACAAGAAATTTTACGTATAAACTGAACTGCTGAAAGATTGAAAAATTGATTTGAATATCAAAATTGCGAATTGCTATGTAATGACTACAATTCAAATTCCAAAGATCAGTTTTTATTGACGGAATATTATTAACAAAACGAAATAATAAGGATATTATTTTTACTTATATTTCATAATTTCCTATTCCAACCCCAAATCCAATGTATGATTTTATAACTGAAGTTGGAGTTGTAGAAAAAATTAGTAAACATTATAACCTAAGAGAACTCGTTATAAAAATATTTACTTTTATACTTACACTTACAATTAATCTACTTTTATCTCAATTGTAGATTTTATTAAATCAACAATCCCATTAAAATTATATTCGATTTCTTGTTAATTAATTTATCTATCTTATCCAGCTTCTTGATTAATAATTCACTAATTTTTTATAAGATGATATAATTTAATTTTATTCTTAGCTTAACTTCATTAAGATCATTAAGTCATTTTTCTGACTATTATAAATTCTTTATTACAAGAACTTAAACACCTTCTATTTAAAATAGTAGCTCTAAATATTAGCAAAACAAATATTCAAAATTATTATGATTAAATTGATCCTCTCACTTATTTATTAAACTAAACAGAGTGCTAAATTGTAGTGATGAAATTATTAATAAAGACATAAATATTATTAATATGATTCACAGTAGAACTAGGCCAATAACATAAAATGAAAGTTTTAAAAAGAAAGGGACATGGAAGATATAATTAATATAATTGATAATAAATAAATTAAAAGAAAAGTAGCAAAAAAAGAAAGAAATTTAGTTATAGATTTTATGGGAACCAAGTATCAAATTGAAATTAAATCTAATTAAATAAAAGCTATTTTTAATCCACAAAGACAATATCCTATTTTCCAGTTTTATTTTTTCATTCAAATATTATATCCTTTATAAAATACTTTAGATTTTCTAATTATGCTATATTTACATTTCATAAAACATTTTTTTTATTATTTCAATTACAACTTTCTTCAGAAATTGATTCCTTTCCATTCCTATAAACATTCTAAGTTATATTACTATTTATATCTTCATCCTTTATCTCCCATCTAAATTATTTTTACTCTATGTTTTAGTTCTTTTCATCATATCATTAATTGACTTTTTATTATCAAAAATTTATCCATTTTTGTTATTTCTCGATCCTTAAGATATTTCACTTTTTTTAGCGCCTTTTTACAAATTGCATTTATACTACCCAATAATTAAATAAGTTTAAATACAATTATATAATAATAGAGATATTTATAAAACATTCAATTCAATGTATAACACACGAAAACATATATTAATTTTATATTCCTCTTATTATTATGATTTTTATTATCGAAATCATATCTAATAAATTTATTTATAAATCTTCAAAATTTTTAAAGTTTTTTACATGGTAGATTCATTTATTACTATAAATTTTTTTTATATTAAAATAATTATTTGGTTTTATTTATAGATATTCTTAGAATAAAACTTATCAAATAGTGGTAATAATATATAAGATATGAACTTAACAATATAAATGATAAAATTAATTATAAATTTATTTAAATGTATATATGTATTAATTAAAAATTAAAAGAGAACAATATTTATAAAGAGAACCTTTTTTTTATATAAATCAGTTTTTATTTAAATGTATATATTTATTAATTAATAGTAAAAAGAGAACTTCATTTATAAAAAAGAGAACATTTTTTATCAATAAATCAGTAATAAACATAATTAAAGAGTTTATAAATAAAAATTAATGAAAAGTATATAAATAAATTTAATGATTCCTAATCAATTATAATTCTTTTTAGATCCAAATTGTTGCTAATAAAGAAATGATCCAAAAGAATATTTTTTTAGTATAGTCGCAAGTAGTTTACTAAAAGAAACAAAATATTATGAAACATCAGATGAATCCAGAGATAAATTAATAGCAACTATGAATACAATTGCAGATATAGATCCAGAGTTTATTCTATAGGTAGCATACTATGTTAGAAAATAATTATATATCAGAAGTGTAACTAATTTTATCCTTGCATATGCTACACTCAATCCAAAAACTAAACCATTTTGTTCAACATATATGTGTCCATCATTATTAATACCTGGAGATCTTATTGAAGTTTGTTAATTTGTTCAAGTCATTTCTAATTGTTAAAAATAGAACAATAATCTCAATCCATTAACTGATGTTAGAAAGAAATTAACTTTCCCAAAAATATTGTAAAAACAAATCAAAAAGAAGCTTACTCAATTTAATATTTATTAACTTGGTAAATAATGTTCAGAAAGTAGTAGAAAAAAAAATATAAAGAAATATCAAGAAATTTTGGTTCCAGATTTGAAAGATAAAAGAAGAGTGAAAAGATTAATGAAATTAAAATAAATTAGAGAATAATCATTATCCTAAGGAGGAGATATTTAAAAATAATTCGAAATTCATGCTATTTAAAAAACAAATAAAATTGCTAAAAATAGCAAAAGACATATGAGGAATCCTCATATTGAGAAACCATAAGAAAAATTAAATGTTTTTGATTCTAACTTTTTAAATTTAAAAGATATTGTTCAATTCAGTCATGTAAAAGAACCCAGAAGTTTAGTAATGTCAATTTTGGGAGCAAAATATCCAAAAACTGAAGAAGAATTCTAAAAAG